AAGGTCAGTATTGGTCATCTTATGCATCGGCAGGCTGCAAACAAACATTTACAGTCACAAGTTGGACAGAACATGGAAAATGCCCATAGCTACCGGTATGACAAAAATAGCCATCTAGGAAACCTACACTTGGAGGAAAATCCCTTATTAGGAGATGCATGGTGTTGGCTAGCACAACACCTTTTTAAAGTTAATTCTACCTAGATCAGATTCCAGATGTACTCACTTATAGTTACTCTTCAGGCTAGCAGGTTTGCGCCAGGTACCATACAAGTCATCCAGTTTGCGGAAGGCACTTTCAGTCCAAATGCAGAAACGCCCAACATGACCACCTGGAGCAAGTCTCAACAGATTCAGCTTGTTCACGTTGAGAAGAGTAATTCCTATAAAAAAAGGCAGAAGCACAGCACAGACATTTTCCTTTAAACACACAATGGCAAAAACTGGATGTTTGGATCAAAAAGATCTAGCCCAAGTATACTAGCTTTAAAATCTTTATTTCTACAATGACTTGCACGCAGTATTACCAAGACATCTCACACACAAAATCTCCAAGTTAGTTTTTCTAACATGAGCAGAAGACAGAGCAGTAACAAGTTGTCTTACCGCTCCATGTGACAACTGGTTTGTTAACATGACTTCCTTGTTGAAGCAGATTCTTAAAAAACAATGCTCTACCACTTAACTAGACCAGTAGTCAGAACTTCCACAAAATCATGTGTTTCAGAAACACGGACCAATGAAGTGGAATCTCATCATTCGAGTGCTCTAGAGTAGAGCAGAGCTCCTCCCAAGAGGTAACTGCTCTTTTGTTTTGTAATTCAGTTACCTGGAATATTTCTGAATGCCTTGATGATACCGTTGTCCTCATTGTAAATGATGCAGGGTCCCCTGCGCTGGATGCGACGGCGATTCCTCATTTTACCCTTTCCAGCACGCATACGCTGAGAGGCATAGACCTATGGAGAAACAAATATGTTAAATCCAGCCACTGCAATTTCTGAACACAACTGAACGTCAGAACTACAAGAGGTCAGAACTTCACCGTCATCACAGTTCATCTGAAACACGGACCAGTGAAAGGTTCATCATTCTTACAGCAAGAAATTCTTCAGTTAGGTCAAGTAAATGGTAATGTGAACGAGTAAATCAAGAGTAATAAACGTATTTTTCATGGCCTACAGTTCTGTGTGTATGACCTAGTGCAGGGCCGGGCAATTATTTTGGGCAGAGGGACACTTACTGAGTTTTGGCAAGTCATCGAGGGCCGTATGACAAGCAGCCAGGGGCAGATGAATATTAATTTTCTAGATTTTTTTTTTTTAGGAACCCCATGGGCCAGATAGAATGGCCTGGTGGGCTGCATCTGGCCCCTGGGCCACATTTTACCCACCCCTGACCTAGTACATACTTTGCAGTAACATATTCACCAAACAGTTTGGAACCTGTGCCCCATAATATCAGCAGTACTTTAATGGTCATTTTTAAAAGCTCTTTTAACAAAGTACTTTAAGTACCTGAAGTACTGACAAACTCACCTTTTTAATGTCATTCCATGCTTTAAGCTTCTTAAGAAGCAGAACAGCTTCCTTGGTTTTCTTGTAGTTTTCCACTTTGTCCTCTACTACCAGAGGAAGTTCTGGGATCTCCTCAATACGGTGACCTGATTAGGATTTTGAAAATAGATCTTAAGTTACTTATTGCTTTCACACAGTAGATAATTTATTTTAAAATAAAGTTATTTGTGCAAGGAGCAGGTCCATGCTGGCTTCTCCACATAATTCCACTAATGTGCCTCCAACTATATATATAAGGAACACTTCCAAGGCTGAGGGTAGCTCCACCTCAACTCTCACCCTCCAATACATACAGAAGTCATGGTGGAGAACTGGAATGTGACAAAAGACTGCTATTTCAGTAGCTCACTATCCTGAACTACCAGGGCAAAACCTAGAATGTTCCACACCTAGAATGTTATTCATGATAAAACCAACATTTTGGAGTACTCAAAATACCTACCTTTAGACAAGACCAGAGCTGGAAGGGCTGAAGCTGCTAGAGCAGAACAGATGGCATAACGTTTCTGGGTTGTATTAACCCTACGATGCCAACGTCGCCAAGTCTTGGTTGGGGCAAACATACGGCCCCCACGGCACATCTATACAGCTACTGTTAAGAAGAAAATATTCCATACTTTACTTGCAGGTCAAGACCTTTTTTAAGCCTTGCTCAGCATCAATTGTTCGTCAGCCATCTGTACCAGCTCATCGACAGCAGGCAACTGTCACTGAATACAGAGTAAGACGCAAATTACGACATCATGGCAAGCGAAAATACTGCATTCCAGTCTCAAAATGTGCAAGTCAATTCTTCATTCGTGGCAGTCAGTGAATGTTTCTGTTTATTTAAAAAAACCCATAAAAGCTTTGAACCAGCACAGGAAATGCTATTCTTCACATTACAAGCTCAAGAACAGTTTCTAGAGCCTAAACTATAGTATGCTACTATTACCTTGAAGGGGAAGAATCTCCAAACTAACCTTTAGATAACTACTTCTGCTTCTTCTCAGTTATACTGTATAACTACTTGGGAGAGGCAGCCAGAAAAAGGATACATTCCCAAAAGCACCTTGGCCAGAACGGTGAGTTCCACCACCTCGTACTCGGGGAATACGGGCAACAGCTCTCCCAGTACCCCAAGATTCAGCACTGGTCTGATGACCTGGAATAGTAAAGATATGAAACTCAAGAGTGTGAAACAACACAACTTTCCGTGCAAGAAAAATACAGAATTCAGGATGGACAATCAGAACTTCCACTGATATCATACAGTTCAGAAACACGGACCAATGAAGTGGAACCTCATCATTTATGTGCTCTGGTCTGGTACTTTGTGCTGGCACCACACTTCATTTCTGAAGTAAGCTGGTTTTCAGTTTAATAAACAGACTCATACCAAGAAGCGCATGCTAGGACCACCCTCTGGCTGTGTCCTCCAAGTTAGATATCAAGTTGTGACACTGATGGCAATTTCATGTTCCCCAGGCCTTTTCGTGGTAGATTTGTTCCTGCTCAGCCAGAACCACTCCTTGCATGTTTAATTACCTACAGTCATTTCTGCAGCATGCATTTCCAATTCTTTTTTTTTTTTTTAAACTACCACTTTTAGAATGCGTCGGTGTCATTCTGGGTGAAAGATAAATACCTAAATGTTTTCTTGCACGTATATATTTAACTCAATTTGAAGCGTATTTGCTCTTCAGTTTTAGTTGGCATGAAAATATTTTAAGAGTCAGCAAGTTGAAATTTATGACTGATCTGAATGGTCTTAAGTCAACAGATGGGACAAGCCCTGAGGACTGAATGGCAAGACATCAGACGGTCAGACTAGACAAACAGGGGGTTGGACTAGATGATCTGCTCAGGTCCCTCCAACCCTAGCTCTACAAAACTACGATGTTATAGACAGGCCAGTTACACCATTACAAGTAATCAAGAGTCGATCCAAACCTAACAGACCCATTCCAGTTCGATGTGCTACACCCCAAATCATACCTGCAAGTTCACTCACGGCGTAGGGCTGCCTGTTGTTCTTACGCAAGTTGGTGTGAACAAAGTTCACAATATCTGGGCGAATGGGAGCCTTGAAGACAGCAGGCATGGTGACATTTTTGCCTGATGTCTCCCCCTTTTCGGAGTAGACCGATATCAACGGACGAGCACAAGCCTGAAAAACAAAACAAAACAGTTTTCCTCAGCGCAAGTCAATGGGATGCTTCCCACCCGGAAACATAACGAGCGCTGCTCAGAGTCAAACGGTCTTCAGCTCAGCAGTGCCGGCACGCTGACAGCAGGCCACTGTCACCGAGCACTGGATACGATGCAAATTACATCATCACAGCAGCGCTTCTTCCCGAATGCGTGGACCCAAGGGTAGCAATACAGCACTTAAAACGTTGATAACAGCACTTGTGTTGCTGCTTGTACAGTGCTTTCAGCATTTCATCCAGCTGGGGATGGACCGCGTTCACCATGAGCGCTGGTTCCTGCCCGGGGCAGGGAGTCGGACCTGATGATCTGTTCAGGTCCCTATAAACCATGAGAACACCCGTCAAAACTTCATCAGGCTTTTCCTGATTTGAGAGACCCAGGAGTGATGTTTCCCCTTCAACACCCGCTCAGAGCCTCCCAAACACCCGCGACGCGACCCCTCAAACCACGTGGCAGGGCCGAAAGCTGCCCCCTTCCTTCTTCCTAGAGGGGGAGGGGAAACGGGTCCCTTCTAACCCACCTCCATTGAGACGACCCCTGACCCCCCACCCAGCGCTGGAAGGGGGTGACCACCCTCTGGCCCGGCCCGACCCGGCCCGGCCCCCCCGGCTCCACGCGGCGCTGGCGACTCCAAAATGGCGGCCGCCATCCCCCACCCGCACCCGCGTGCGGCCCGGGGCCCCTGCCCGGCCCCGCTGCGGCCGCCCTTCGTCCCGCTCCGGCCGCTTCTCTCCCCGCACTGCCGCCCCCAGCCCCAGGCCACGTCTCACCATGTCGGCGGCGGAGGCTGCAGCCCGTCTCGCTGCTCGCTCCTCCGAGGTGCCGGCCGGAAAAGGAAAGATTTAGCACTTCCGTCTGCCTATATGTAACCTTCCTCCGCGCCCGCCTCCCCTCGGACCCAACAAAACACCGCGCCGGGCAGCCCCAACTTCTCTTCCTTGCGCCACCCCACCGGGGCTGGTAGTGGTTCCCGGTAGCACTATCTTCCGCGCCCCTCAGGGCCGCGGTAGCATGGGGACTATTTTGTCGGCGGAGGGATTCGGGGGGAGGGGAGGAAAGCTGAAAGGGCTTGTAATAAAAGTGTTTTTTTTTTTTTAAAAGCGGCTCCGCGCGGAGTCGCAGCAAGGGAGTGCGTTGCGCGGAGCTGGGTGAAACAAACAAAAACGGTGTTTTTCTCCCCCCGGGGGCGCGGCGCGGATGTAGTTCCGGCGGGGCGGGAAGGCGCGCGGTTCGGCTCAGGAGGCAATGGCGGCTGCGCTCAGGCACAGGTCGGCCACCGGGCTGTACGACAGTCTGCTGCGGTGAGTCTGTGCGTGTTTCGGCCGGGCTGCGGCCGCGGCCCCACGAGCTCGCGCACGCCGGGGCGGGCCGCCGCCACCGCGGGGGCTATTGACTTCCATAGCAGTGGCCGGGGGCGGGCCGGGGTCTCCGGGGGAAGGCGCGGGGGAGACCCCGGGGCCGCGGTCCGC